TGAAGTTCATGGAATATATATCCCGGGCAACGCAGGCTCAATTGTTATAATTGAAAGCAACACTAATAAGCGCGTGTTCATGATTCACGTCTTTCAATGTTCATGTCTTGAAACCAGTTGAGTGCTCCATCGGTATCTTATTAAATGGAGCATTATAAACACGGGGAGGACTCATGATATAAATAATTACGGTGCAAACGTTATTTATACTGATGGCAGACGATAAATAACGATAATTTACTTCCAGTACTGGCGAGTTCATCATGCATTGCTGAAGGTATATTATTCTTCAGTCACTAATACACGCAAGAGACGAATGAATACAACGTCATCCCAACGCGCCAACGAGACAGAAGACAAATCGAAAGGAGAAATATCTAACGCGCATAACAAGATCAAGGTCAATAAACCTAACAACACCAGTTCTAGTTATCCGAAAAGTAAAGAAAAATCTGAACAACACACCACTATTTGTCACCTTGAGGTTCATCGTGGACTCGATGAATGCGTTGACGAAGAATACGATGTGAAGACAGCTTCTTCATCCAGCCTAGATCGTGGCCAGAAATGCGACCATAAAAGTCCAATAGACAAAAGCGTCGTCTCAAGAACAAGAGGAAAGGAAATGCGTCTAAAACTTATGTCCAATGGAATTTTGAAAAGTTTTCTCCACTTTCAAACGGGTTCTATATCGTTTCTCCGCAACCGGCACGAGGAGAGTAGAGAAATGATGAAGAGTCCAGTAGTTAACAACGCTTGGGAACACCTTGCATACATATTTACAAATGGACAGCTGCCATTCAGCAACGACACGAGATCTATTGAAGGTTCAATACAGAATTCGAGGAATATTACCCAAGTTGATAACCTATCGAAATCTGCAAGAGGATCAATCAATCAGTGTGATGGTGGAGTAAGCGAGAAGTCGGCAAAAATGCAAATTGCACCGCAATATAAAACCGATGGATCAGATGTTAAAATAATCAGTTCTGGAGTTGTTATCAAAAAACAAGCTTTGGACGAATCAGCAAGAAAATCGTGTCGAATGGAACGAGGGGTACTACGGTCGAACGTGAACCACCCCAGAAATAAAATGTCTCCGAAAAATATTGCAAAATTGAACGTAGAGCAAGAGATGAGGATTTCATACGCAGCTAATCTCAATAACAAACCAAAATTGAGGCGAAACGAAAGTACAAATTCTGGAGCTGTACAAATCTGCATGGCCAAAGAGAAAAAGAACAATGGAAGGATACAACGAACAGGAGAAAACTACCTACAATTGAAAAATACCATTTTAGAGAACGGCCGAAATTTATCAGTTGAGAAAGCCAGAAACAAAGATACATTTTGCACAAAGTTTGTGATTCCAAAAATTATAATTTCGGAGTCTGACTGCAGCACTCGGACGGAAAAGCAAGCGGAGGAAATCACCAACGACTTGACCTCTAGTTTCCCGACTGAGAACACGAACCAGAAGATTGGAGATCATTCGTCCAATTATAACACAAGCATTTTGGAACAAAATACAATCCTTCAAAACCTGCAGCTTTCGCGCTCTCCAAACTTCATTTTCGACATTTCAGAACATCTAGTTCGCAATCAACCTCGAATCGTTGAGAATGTAGAAGACATTGAGGTGCCGCTGGTGGTTATGCAGTCTACAGAGCTACACCAGACCTCTTCTCTAGTTCCCAAGAATTCAACCAGCCAAGACTGGATCATAGATGGAAATATGACACGGGACAGACAAAAATACAATACTAGGAGCAAGAAAACATCCACTCATTTAGTTTCGTTGCCAAGAAGTGAATCAAATTTCTCTCCACTGAAACGTTCGAGCCTCGATCACGAATCTGATCTCAAGTTAAATAAAAACCTTCTATCCGTCAGTCCCATGTTTGGCCAATCCTTGCGGCACCACGGACAAAAGAATGAAAACGATGGTAACGAAGATGGCACCAAAAATAATTATTGCAAGCCTTTTGCTAATAAGAAAGGATCAAAGGAATCAAAATTATCCTGCCAAAGAAGGATGGGTCTTCTTCTGGCGAGGATGGAAGCTAGAAGAGCTGAACTTCAAATTTGGGGACTGGGAAGGTGAGTCTTGATATTGAAGTTTCAGATGCGTTAAATATTTTTAACAGTTCATATTTTAAGGAGCTACACATTAGTATTGAGCTCACTTTAAATAAGCTTTAACATTCACACCGTCTCTGACCTTTGCATGGGCATTAAATTATTTGCTTATTATACGAGGCCTGTCTAAAAAGTATCCGACCATAGGCCAGAAAAAATATTTCAAACACCTAACGGGGTTTGGACCCTTATCCCCTTCAAACTAGGCGTATTAAATGAAAACAATATTTAAAAGTAGAACGTCGAGCCTTCTTCTCACAATAACTTTTGCTCGACAAATATAGGCGTTAATCTAAACTTAAATTCAGTAAAGTTATTGAATCATTAGAATTTTCATTCCATCTTTAGCACAGGACTTTAATTTCCTGAACAACTTTACCGCGTACATCAAGCATTATTCTGATTTGCTTTATGAACACTTAACCACTGCATTCAGGGCAAAAAATAACTTACAGGACATTTAGCTTCAATATTATTTGACTGCAAACATATTTAATCTTAGAGTTACCTTAAAAAATATCTTCTAACGTCACCTCGCGTCACGTCATCAGACTGGGAAGCGAGTCGCTGGTGTCGCTGCTGGGGGTGACGGTGACGTTCATAGCTCTGCTCATGCAGATCGTGCCTGACAGGCCCTTGGGCAGCGATGCATTCCATGGCATCTACGACAACTGCTTCTATAAACAACCCTAGTTTTCGGTTGGAACTATCAAGAACCGGAGTTAAAGTGTTTGGTTGGAACTATCAACAACCGGAGTTAAAGTTTTCGGCTGGAACTATCAACAACCGTAGTGAAAGTGTTCGGTTGGAACTATCAACAACCCTAGGGAAAGTGTTCGGTTGAAACTATCAACAACCCTAGTGAAAGTATTTGGTTGGAACTATCAACAACCGTAGTTAAAAGTGTTTGGTTGAAACTATCAACAACCTTAGTGAAAGTGTTCGGTTGGAACGATCAACAACCCTAGTTAAAAATGTTTGGTTGGAACTATCAACAACCCAATAGTGGAAGTGTTTGGTTGGAACTATCAACAACCGTAGTTAAAAGTGTTTGGTTGGAACTATCAATAACCCCAGTGAAAGTGTTTAGTGGGAATTATCAACAACTGTAGTGAAAGTGTTCGGTTGGAACTATCAACAACCGGAGTTAAAAGTGTTTGGTTGGAACTATCAACAACCCTAGTGAAAACTGTTTGGTTGGAACTATCAACAACCGGAGTTACAAGTGTTTGGTTGGAACTATCAACAACCCCAATTAAAAGTGTTTGGCTGAAATTATCAACAACCCTAGGGAAAGTGTTCGGTTGAAACTATCAACAACCGTAGTTAAAGCTGTTTGGTTGGAACTATCAACAACCCTAGAGTGAAAGTGTTTGGTTGGAACTATCAACAACCCTAGTGAAAGTATTTGGTTGGAACTATCAACAACCGTAGTTAAAGCTGTTTGGTTGGAACTATCAACAACCCTAGAGTGAAAGTGTTTGGTTGGAACTATCAACAACCCTAGTTCTATTTAAGCACTGGTAGATATAATCTTATATTTGGTATTTTCGATGAATAATTTTGAATAAGTGATCGATGTGTCGAAGTACATTTTGTGATTTACGTGTAAACAACATTCATTTATCAATTAATTTTAGACAGCAATATAAAAAAAGACTTATATTTCTGAATATAAATTCATTTTCATTTTTACCTCCAATTAAAAGTCTTCCAATGAATGAAAACGATAGGAAAGCGAATGTAATTAAAAAGTCCAGCATCCGAAAAAACGGCTTCGTGAAACCATGCATTGAAACACTCGTTAAAGTACATTAGTTTGAAGAGCGTCACTATAAATAGGGTGAATGAGACGCGAGTGGCACAAAGAATACAGCATCTGTACTACGACGCTAGACATATAACAAAATAAGAAATAAAATAACAACAAATTAATCCTTTTGAGAAACGGCGGAACATTATATACATACGGCCAACTATAAACATGTACAACGAGCGATGCAACGTATTTAAATAAAGCTAGACGCGATAACAGAAGTACAAGGAGGTTGGGCACTGAAAAGCGTTACTTTAAAAATAAACAACCTTATGAGGATCACCGTTGAGTCGGTCTAAGACAACAATAGCTACCGATGCTTCATCTTAATGATTACTTGACGCGATTCATATCAAATAATAAAGACACGGAGCCAGGCTCGAGGGTGAAAGAGCGTCCATTATGAGAGAATCAATACATTGAATAATATAGGTACTACCAGAAATACGTTCACAGAAACATTGTTCATGTCGGACTCTGTACTTTTACCTCACAGCATGCATGGGTTCATAAATCTTGATAAAAACGATAACTGTGAGGCATTATTTGCATTACCATTAAATTCGTCAACAATGCCCGTGGCGAAGGAAAAATTAACGCTATTGAAACTTTTTTCATATCTGCCTTGAAAAAAATGTGAAGAAGCAAATATAGTTAAAAAAAAGGAAACTCGAATTGCAGAAATCTAGAGAACTTCAAGAAAAAGTGTCACATGGGACAACATATTTCCTTTTCTTATTTCTTTCAAAAACGAAGTCACATGGTGTAAAAAAATCAATTTTCCGTATCTCCTGCAGTTACAGAAAAAGTCTCACATCGAAGAAAAAAGACATTTCCACACCCTACACTACTCACGGAGAAAATTTCTGTTCGCAAAACGTAATGATAGCGACTCACATACAAGTAGTGTAAACAGAGGCAGAATTCAGTACACTACAATACGGTACCGTACTTAATCGCTGCCTCACTACACTCCAATACTTAATCACTGCCTCATTACACTCCAATACTTAATCACTGCCTCACTCCAACACTTAATCGCTGCCTCATTACACTCCAATACTTAATCGCTGCCTCATTACACTCCAATACTTAATCGCTGCCTCATTACACTCCAATACTTAATCGCTGCCTCATTACACTCCAATACATAATCGCTGCCTCAAATACTACATTTTGTACCGTGATATTAGTTCCACTACATTGCAATGTCTTGGGCAAAGAAACAATATTTCCTACATGTACATTATTCTAGAACATTACATCAACACTCAACAACCTATCGCCCTCAGTAGACGAGCTCGGGCACCTTCATTAAAGCTCTATTGAACTGAAACTCCAGCTACTTAGGAGAAAAAACATAAAAATTCACGTATAAACTTGAAACATAAAATATTGCGTGTAAATTTAATCCTTTGTTTGCACATTCATGACAATGCTATTCATCACATAGAGCCGGCGATCTACTATATAGGAAGTAGTGTTAAAGAGTAGGAATTTAAGGGTTAAAGAGCAGAAGATTAAGGATTAAAGAGCAGAAGATTGAGGGTTAAAGAGCAGAAGATTAAGGGTTAACGGGCAGACGATTAAGGGTTAAAGAGCAGAAGATTGAGGGTTAAAGAGCAGAAGATTAAGGGTTAAAGAGCACAAAAAACTGCATTGCAAGCAGCCATAGAGTCAGCATAATCCTGGAAGCTTTAATAACATGATTATAAATAGTATCAAATATCGTAGCCGGTATCATAACATAAAAATACATACTACATATGAAACTTTGAGTGATTGCTCATTGCACGAGTATCTATCCAAATTAATACTACTATATTAATACTCTTATTTTTCTTCAGTAAGATTGAAGTAATAATCGAAAGTTAAACCAACATATTGAATGTAAACACAACTTTGATTAAGATTTATCAAACTCACAGCGCAACCAAATCGGCAAGAGAATCTCCAGGTTGCCCACGTTATAAATAAATAATCAGGAGCAAATTATTTTTTTTCTCTAATGCATAATCGCGGTCAAACGGCGGTGATAATAATAACTAATAAGATTTTGTTAACGAGAATATAATTTAGCTGCCGGAACATGACGTTCCATTTGACCGACTCATGGAAGCTATAACTAAAAAAAATTAGTGGGTCGTGCTTTCCAAATAGTGATACACTTTCTGCACGTAGAGCTAATACGCTCTTTTTCCGGACTAAACTGAGTCACGATAACCTACACTAGGCAAAAAGTGCATCGTTATTTGGACAAAGTCATGTTCATTTTTCAGAGTATACTTCATGAATATAAGAGGGGGATGCCCATCACTGATATCATTTGTGGGGTATAACATTGCGTAACATGGATTCGATACTACCTGGGGCATCGGGATGTCGGCTCAGGATATGACTCTTAAGATTGCCTTTGAGCGCGGCGCTGTAGTCACAATGGGGACACTTGAAGGGACGTTCCCCAGTGTGTGTTCGCATGTGTCTCACCACGTCAGCTCGGGACTGGAAATGCTTGAGACACACGTGACAGTCATGGATACCTGTCGTCCCTGATACACCAAACGACATTAAATGACGCGCCGATGATCCGGACATCGAGAAATTCCCATTACCAACACTCGAGTCCTCTCCGTTGCTTCGAGAATATTTGTCTCTGTAGCGATAAACACTGCTTTCTTCCCGCGCAGTATTCTTGCCCTGCATGATATGTGAAATACGAGAAGATGAAGTTTTGCGGTAATTGCCGCCTCCGCCATCGTACGCAGATGATGATAGAGGCAGGTAGCCGGTGGCACAACTAAATGCTTCCAAGCGTCCAACAGAAGCCAGAAGCTGCTGATCGCTGTCGCTGAACGCAGAATTTCTAGAAGCTGATGCAGTGAGAATATTTTCCGTTAACGCCGAGCCGCCATTAGCGTCTGAAGAGGCGACAACTGAAGAGTTGGTTACGGAGGACGCGAAGGCGTTCTGGGCGGAGGCAACTACAGTTGTAGGATCGCTGTTATGGGCTGAGAAGGCTCCCAGGTCCGCGTCGCTGGAACACACCTAAAACATAAAACGGCATAAATTCGAATGTTTTTGCGTTCAATAAGTTCAATATTCCATAAGATTGTACGTTCTTTATGGGAGTCTCCGGTAATTGGTCGTAAGTGATAACAATAGGTTCGTACTGCTGCAATTCTCAAAACCCTACCAATACCTGACATTCTTTAAATCAGCATAAAAGTTCATCTATTAGCAGCTCAATCCTAACACATATACCGCGGTTTTATGAAATAGATCATCATATCTAATGAAGGTTTAGAAGAAATCTTTCGACATCAAGACGTATTCTCCGGTGTCGTTTCACTAGCCCTGAAAATGCCGAGTCAATGCCCAGTTTTCGGAAGATCAGAACTGAAAATTAAAATCATTTATCATTTGAATATGACCTTGAAATTTTCTACTCAAATCTAATCATGAAATAACTGCAAGGCCCAGAACAGAAGTCTGAAGATCTCTGGAAGGATTGTAACGAAAAGCATGTACGAATTTACGACACTTTACTCATGTGTGAAGAGACTGTAGAATAAATACTATTTCTCTTCGAATTAATTTTAAAATTCATTTCTTTAACGTAGATGGCACACTGAAGAACATTACATACGTAGTTTCCTTAGAATGCGCTAGCATGCATATCGAAAGTAAAGTGCAGTGTAAGCAAGTGGTCTGATAAAGAAGTCATACTCAACAAGTGAACAATTTCCGAATACTATTTCCTTGAGTTACAAGAAACGAGGAGCTGAACATGAATCAATTTAAAAAAATCAATGTAAATACTGTAATGGAAAATTATCCGCGAGAATGAGAAAATCATTATCTCAGTCGCGTAAAAATTCACTTTAACATTCCAACACGGAGAAAATATTAACTGGAAGCCGTGGTAATTCAACAAAATGCTTTTTTCCCCACGACTGATTTGATACACGCAACGCATTTATTATAACATTTTATAACGAAACAACGTCAACAACATCACACAGATGCAACGAGATCAGATCTCAGGGCCTATACCTTCAAAAAAAGTTAAGAGATCGTAAGTTCATCAGCCAATCATTGACGGCCTTCCAAACAGAATCCATCAATCATAGACAAGAAAATAGAGCGTAAGTACTTACGTTCACTTAGCGAGTTTTGAAAGTATGGCCCCAGGAGTAGCGCGGCATTAATGACCATCAGTTTGTGTGGCAATCTCCTAAAACAAAAATTAAATTTCCCGGTTCCATAGAAGTATCAAAGATACCGCAACAATGTAAAGATAAGAAGAAACTCTACGGTGGTGTAATAATTACATTTTTATTGGTGGAATAAAAAATGCTGTGAATTCATTTATACTGAAACATTTAACTTGAACATAATTAACTAGAACATTCGTAGCAAACTAACACTATATCAAACTACAAAACAATTAAATCTAACGATGATATGCAGTAGTTTCAATAACCCAAACTGATGATCTTTCTTTGATATTCCACTGCTGATAAAATACTTAATTTTAATTTCCTTTTATAAACCGGAGATTCTACTTAATAATATTTAAAACTAGACAACGAGCCACGACTCAATACCAAGACCTGAGAACTTCTTTGACACAAAACAGAAAACAAACAGATAGCTTATTTATGAAGTTTCCTTCTATACCATTTTTCAATAAGCACACTTTAGATTGTGAGGAACTAAAATCTAGAAGCAAAATAAGAATATAATTCTAATATCATCCTGCATGAACACCTGGATTTACATTTAGCGCTCACAAGCGCAAGCTGCAACAGGACCGTATTTCCATTAAACGTGCCGCAGCTAACGGGTGGAGAACAATGCAACACAAAAACACAATAAGACCATTAGACCTCAGTATAATTCTTGGTACAAATCATGCTCAGCCACTGTAAAGTTGACATGAATAAATACAACGTTACTGCATTGACATGTTAAAATCATGTTCAGCCACTGTAAAGTTAACATGAATACAACGTTACTGCATTGACTACAGCGTCTTCATTCCGGGTGTCAAAGGCGCTTTTGTGGTGCATGGGCACGAGTGACTTTGTTATTCTGTTTCACATAAACTAACTCAGAAAATATATTCCAATAAAATATTTTCTCTGTAACACCAAGGAATGCAGCATGAAAGGTTATGTGACGCTTAATGTTGTTTGATAAGCTTCATACAGAAAATGAAGTGCACAAACATTTGATCTGTGATTCCCACAAATGCACCAGGGTAAGGTTGATCGGTGTGCTTGATCTTCAGCAAATATACGATTACATTTCATGTTAATTGAGATATTATTGAAACCAAAGCTCCCAGGCACTCAAAAGCTCTACATGGCACTCAAAAATGTCGACACATTTGTCAAGCAGTGTACAGATTTATCTGCAGAGGCAAAATTAAGGAACATTATTATTCAGCAATAAATTTGAATAATTAAAACTCAGCCATCAAGCTGATTCAAGCAGTGTACAGATTTATCTGCAGAGGTAAAATTAAGGAACATTATTATTCAGCAATAAATTTGAATAATTAAAACTCAGCCATCAAGCTGACATACAATTGAAACGCAAATAATTTTAATACAAACCTTTTAAAATTTAATCAGTTACCTCCATGTTTATCAGGACATCATCACAGAGAAGAAGAGAGCGAGAGGGTGGGAAATCAATCACTTAAGTGTTGATTGTAGTCTAAATATTTAACACTTGATTAATGACGTGCTTTGTACGATTATTACTCATACGTGATGAGGGCATAATGACTATAATTGATGTATTAGCGTCTGTAAAAATACGAAAAACTGTAAATTATGAAACCGATTAATAGTATTGTTAGTATTTAAATCTAGGTGCACGATTCAGGGATTTGAATTCCATCATACAATGTACAGCAAAAACTTTACGACGCTTATCCCGATAATCTGAAAATTATGATAATCGATCGAATCGATTGGTAATTATCATAATTTATCGAATAATGATCGATTATCGAATTATGATCGATAATCGAATTATGATCGATAATCGAATTATGATCGATAATCGAACCGATAATCTGAAAATTACTGTGAAAATTAGGAATGAACCACACACCTCACAACACCAACACTTATACTCGTAAAAGTAATAATTATTTGTTTTGTGTTTTCATGTAGACGCAGCCTTTATCGGTGCAATAACTTTTCCTAGACCAGAAATACTGAGAAATATTGATATTTGAGAACTACACATATTGCGTTACACTACACTATATGCGTTACACTACACATATTTCCTGTAACGCATTCAATAAATAAGCTTAAGTTTACGATTGGGATTTGCTAAGCCGCGGGACTTCTGCAATGGAGGAGACTGTATCTTGAGACGTTGCTTCCGATCTGGTGGAATTATTTGGAGGAGAAGAAAGCTGCTCCGAAAAGCTTGGTATCTGAAGAGAAGACGATGGAAGATTCATCAGCGCACCAAGAGCATCCAAGTGAGCTGACTGGAGATCAACTACAGAAAATGATGTCGAAGATGAACTGGGTCTGGTGGTTGCCTGCTCAATGGTGCTGTGGCTAGGGTGCTGGGGTCCGGGCATGCTGTGATCTGACATGCTGTCGTTGGATGGCCAACGATCAAACGGCACAGAGGTTCCCGGTACTGCATTAAAGTGTTGGAATTCTTCACGATCTTTGGCGTGGACTTTCCGCACATGGACCGTCAAATTACTTTTCTGTGCTGACCGGTAAGGACAGTGAGGGCATGAGAAAGGACGCTCGCCAGTGTGTTTCCTCATGTGCGTTTTAAGCCAAGAATCGCGATCTGTAACGTATCCACATTGCGGATAAGGACACAGAAGTTGACGATGAGCGACTCTACCGTGCCCCAGCTTCGAGGGCGCCATGCCGCTGAAGAAGTTAAATGCACCTCCAGTACCCACCAAAGACTTCCCCTCACCGCGGTTGGCATCAAATATCAAGGAGGAGTTTCGCAAGTCGCTGCCGTTACATCCATCGAAACTCGTCCTTCTCCTGTGGCTGTCACTGCTGGCCCAGTTGATCTTGTTAGATTTGTTCGAGGTGTCCATTGAGGCCGCGTCCACCGGCGCTTCGCTCGTCAAACTTGTGACAGCGGACGGCGAGAGCAGCAGAGGAGGTAGGTCTTCCGACGCTGCTCCTCCATCAGGATTGACTTGAGCTCGTGACATGCGAAGGGCACCATCACTGAGGCTCCCCTCCCCATGATCCTTCACCTCCATCAGGAGGCCCTGAGAGCCGAGGGAGGGGAGCCAGTTAGTGAAGGAAGGGCTAACTCAAACACGAACTAGTCTTTACCATGTTTTATTCAGTAGCGTTTATACAATTAAAAAATAATAATACATCCAACAAAAGACGATAAGTATAAAGTGGTGAGTATTTTAGAATACAAACGAAAAAGGGTTAACAAAATCTCAATACTTTGAAGACAAAACCTACAATCGCACCAGAATTTTCACACGTTCATCCTTCGGGCTTCATTCAAGAGAAACCAATTCATGACCTAGAGCTTAAGTTTACGACGTTGACAACGAATCGAATATGACATGAAGATCGAGAGAAATGATCTGCACGTCGACAGCTAACATGAAACCAAAACGTCTAAGACCGTACTACTGTATGAATCAATCTCAATGCACAGTATGAATGTCATCTGAATAAACATTCGTGTATAGAAAGAATAATCTTTTACTCTATGAATTTTTTCAGTTTCACTACGTTTGCTAGTAGACACGCTTCACGATAGTTATCAGTTTTACAGTTTAACCCACAAGGCAGTTCATGTCACGTATTGAATAAAGCTAATGTTAAAGGAAGACAGCACTACAATTGAGGACTGAAATTGCATTTAATATCGTCAGTGGCATTGGTCTAGTTGTCTTAAAACAACATCAAATAGACATTTGCTATCCGTTTGGTCTTAGAACTTAAAAAACGTCAAATTGAGTGATATAAAATTTAAATCTTCAACCTAAGCTGAACTGGTAACATTTAACATCCCATCTCATTTCTTCAACCTGATTTCCTGAAAACAATATAACTGGTTAAATGAAAGAGGTTGTACATACAATGTAGTCTCTTACCATTCTGTCGCGAGCAGCAGTGAAGGGTAGCCAAGAAAGATCGCTGGCAGATTCATTACTCCAGCTTACTGCTGTGGATCCTTGCTGCTGCTGCCATACTTGAGCTACCGAGTCGTCCAAGTCTCGGTCAGAACTCTCGCCCTCCTCTTTAACTCTGATGCCCTATAAGAGACAATTAATATCATCAAAGCGTTGGGAAAATGCAATAAGGATTTAATAGAATTACCCTAAGTGGAGAAATTGACATGTGTGATTATAGGTTAGATCATTAGATTAGTTGAATGCAAAACGTTAGATTAGTTGAGAAGGCGACTGACAGATTGTAAGCAATCTAGTGCTTATCATGAAAACAACATACTTCAGCTGCTGGAGATTTGTGACCTCTGTACTAGTTATGAACAGTAACAGGAATTTGAATTTATTCAAATACCAAATGTTAAATGTTTAGGGTAAAAAATATGCATGCCTTCAAATCTCTAATTCAATTTCTTTATGGATCAATGGCTGATAATAATATATGGGTGGTACAAACTGCAAAATCAGACACAGCTCTTTTCTCTCATACATTTTTTTGCAACTTACAAAGAAATTAATACCTAGTCTTGCAAATAATACATCAATGTACTTTGATGCAAATGATTTATTGATTAATTTGCAGAACAACAAATCAGCCCCATTAATAGATCAGCTCTAAATATGTATCCAAATTTGAAGAAAAAGCAATTACTGCTAAAATGTTACCTGCTCCTCAAACAATTCATTGTGGAGTTCACTAGAGTCTGGGGATTTTTCTTCCTTCACATTATCTTGCATCTCCAAAAACTCCCTATCCTGCAGCTGTTGATGATCATTTTGCAGAACAACCTCATCAGGAGATGATTCTCTTCTTCCTAAATCATTTGTAAAAGATTTTTTCAAACGCTTGGAAACATTATCTATACTATCACTAGACGATTGTTGATTACAGTTACTTGCACTTCCTGAAAGATAATTCTTTCTTTTCTTGAGTATTTTGGAATTATTTTTGTCACTTAAACTTGAGTTCCTCTCAGCATGGTTATTAATGACTGATATCAAGCCCTGAGCTGGTTCTTCATCTGGAGCTGCGAGTCCCTTGATTTGAAGCGTTTCTGCAGCTTTGATGAGTGTTGGGAGATGAGCCTGTGGTACGTTTACTTCACCAGCATACATGTAGCTCAATAAATAATTGAAGTTTTGATGAGGTAGATCATGTAGCACTACCACAGGATGTTTGCATGGAGTGCTTGAAAAAAGTTGGGCAAAAAAATCACTGCATGTTGATAAGACCAGCTTGTGTACAGGGAAGAGGTGTCCATCACAAGCTATGGTGGCATCACTCAGCATAGCCTGAAAAATACAGGGAAGGAATGAAGAGTATTTCAATGCCTTTTTATAGTTAAAATGATGTGATGAACAAAATCAGGAAAAAATTATTTAAATAAAAAAGTAATCATATAAGGAATCAAGAAATGATTTTGAATGCTTCCAAAGTCATTCAATTATAATGGACTCAATGTAATTAAGAACCCAAGAAGTATAAATTCAATGCTTTTCATTACCTGAATGAATATCCCATGGTATCAGACAAATTTAATGATAAATATTTACTGGAAAAACAGTAACAGATGACTTACTTTTTCTTGTAGTGAGGCAATAGCTATCCTGAAATTTGACAAATGGTTGTTCCATTTCAAAGAGAGCAAATGGCTGCTCTGGCTGCTTTCATCTAAATCATTAGTCATTGTGACTTGATAGCATCCTATAATTCTAAGAAAATGTATACAATATTAACATTAAATTTCTGAAATGTATAAACAGCACTGGTAATTAGAAAATTTTTATGCACCTTTAAATCATTTTCCAACCATAACTATCAGGTTATACATTTAATTTAGCTTTTCATAAAAAATTAGGGCTTAAATTTCAGAATATTATCAAAAAATATCAAACAAAGGCAATGTAAATAAACAGATCACTCCTTAAGAATCTTGTTTACCAATGAATTCTACCAGCTCCCATAGTCAAACTTCAAATAAATTCAAATTTTAGGCATCTCGAAATACATAAAAATTAAAAAGTAATTAGGTCTTTTTCAATCCAGCTCCTAGCCTCCTTGCAATATTCAGAATTCAGATGAAATTGGTATTGTGCCAGTGCCAGGGTGCAGAAAAAGGGGTGAATATTGAAAGATTAGTGGCAAGGCAAAAGGCATCAGCAGCAAAATTTACGCCTTCAGAAGATCTTGCTAACACATTTGGATTGAAATTATTGCATTTTAAAAATTCCTTTGAAATTATTGTAAATCTGGAAGACCGCAAGTACACACAGTAAGGTTTCTGGTCCGTCAGTCTGTCGGATGGATCAGGATGCAGTGAAGCTTTTCCAGAAATCTGTTGTGATGATGCAGTGCGTGGATAGTAAGGGATATACTATCAAAGTTGTTAGCAGCATTTCTTATTAAAAATTACCCGCCGATGTATCTTGAAAATGGCTGGTGATGCTTTGGGCTAAAAATTCATATATTGGCAAAGCTGCTTGCATAGTGTCGTGACTCGTAACAAACCATAGATTTTTTTAGAATCAGTTAATTTTTAATTTCCTCACGATTTAAACCAATTTCTTATGTATGATAATGCAGGTATCAAGGATACTTTACTGGTCTACATAATACATATATAGTCAGATGGGGTAAGACAGGACCGAAATCACTAACAAGCCCGTAGCATCTATACCATGAATAATTAAAAAATCCTAAACCTATCACAAGGTGTATCTATGCAATGGGCTTCTAAGCTACAACTCTGACATTTTGCATCTAACATAGTTTTCTGTAAAGATTAAAAAAAGTGAGCTGGTCCCATCTTACCCCATTGGGGTAAGATGGGACCAGGCATGGGGTAAGACAGGACCAACTGGTTATTCTTATGTTACAAGGTTTTTAATAAAAGTACAAATCTGATATTCAATATTATCCATCTAGAAATACATTATTTGATTAAACAACCACTTGTTACTGTTTTGTGTTGCGGGAAGTCAACTATAATATCAGTCACATTGAAGTTTTTGTCACGAGAAAACTTTGTTAAGCATAATAAAGGTGGGTTGGCTTTGGTTCATTGTAGAGCACTGTTAAATGCGTCCTGTATATTCCATTACCTAGTGTCATTGTCTGAAAAATTTTTCACTTTGGTAATAAAACCAATGGATAATAATTTGAGTGTCAGACATCATGAGTTTTCTTGCTAACTGCATTTGTGGTGCACTTCTTCAAACATAGCTCATGCCTTCTCACAGAGTTGTGATCATAATTATTTTTCATGTTTCACACAATGATTTTCCCCCTAACTATTTTGTGACCCTTCTTTACATAGGTTTTCTTTGAAAATTAGCCAGAAATTCATTATTTGCAGAAGAGGGTTGAAACAAACACTGAAATGATGGGCAATGATTGCACTAACATATACTTTTGTCAAATTAAATTCAGTGCAATTAGAATGCACACCATGGGCTGGTCCTTTCTTACCCCATGAAGGCTGTGATCCTGTCTTACCCCATTTGACTATATAGCCTATAGGACTCAAAAATGAACTTGATGGAAGGTCTAAAAAACTCACTACCTTGACACTAATCACGCTATGGCTGCTTGTGCCTTGCACCCTCTGCACGTTGCACCATGGGTATTGTGCATACGTGCTTACAGCTTAAATAACCTAAACCCATATTGGCCATATATATAATATATGAGACTGGTACCTACTTAGTACTTACATAGTGGCAATTGCAAATCAGACATTTTTTATAATCAGTTCATTTTCAATTTCTTTATTTGCTCAAGATTTAAACCAATAATTTATGTATGATAATGCTGGAATCCAATATCCATAATACTAAGGAATTTAAAAGCAAAGAAAACGCCAAAAAAATCACCATATCGATATTGAAAACATTTCGGAGTCCAGCTCCATCATCAGTTTGACTAAACTAAAAATGAATAAAATCACTTTAAAAGTCAAAATTCAAAGGCAGACATAAAACCTAAACAAGACCTAACATTATATCAAAATAATGTGATATATATATTATATTAATGATATAAGTACCATAATACTAAATACTTTGCTGGTCTAGGCTACTCATACTCATAGCCTCATAGGACTAGGAGTGATAGGACTAAAAAATAAACTTGAGGAACAGTCTCAAAAGACAAAAACTTCCATCATTTAGGTATCATTATGCTGGGCACAGTGGGCAGCTGCCAGCTGGTACAAAAGGGCAGTGTGCTACTTGAGTACACTAAGTACAGTAAAGTACTAAATGCTAATCTTGTTAAGTTGTTCACAATTTCACATGTGCTGATGTGATGTGCATGTGGGTGTGACACTGTGGCACATTGCACATCACTGACATCAGCACATGTGAAATTACCATGTCCATGTGGGATGTGGCATCATGTGGGCATGTCCTGCATGTGCTATGTGGCTACCCCTACCCCAGCCTACCACCTAGCCCTAGGCTAGGCACCTACCACTACCGCACTACGGCAGTAACGGCACTACCAGGCCTATGCAGAATTGCAGATCACAGCATCAGCAGATGCACATCCAGCACATGCTTGTTCAATTTAATCAACTAATTTTTTAAATTTGTACATAGATTGCAGTCATTGTACTGCTAGCTATGGCATTGTCGTTGTGCAAACATATTTGACTTGCCGGGCGGATATTCCAACAATTCCATCATACAACTCAACACAACTCTCAAGTCACTTGTCACTCAATAGCCTAGTTTGACAGCAGCATTTGTGAAAACTTTAGACAAAATTTTATTTTAGGAAGGACTAAATTTTATTAATGCAACTCAAGTGTCATTGATGTATGCAATAAGCATTAGGATTTATGAGAAGAGTCGGAATTTAACTTTCAAGACGTTAGACGAGCAAAAGTCCATGGAACAAAACCTTGCGCCTTACGCTTACAGTACGCTCGCCGAAGCCCGAGTGGGACAGTGGGGACTAATAAAAATTTTTAGGCCATTTGAATTTTGAAGCTCTATTGATTCGGTTTTCTATATAATGCTTCATCAAGTGAAAAAATATTCAAGTAAATCACGTTAAATTCGTTTTGGCGTTGCTCAATCTGGCATGTAGCAACTGTTCTGCATCTATAAAGGCGGTATTCAATCGATCACGGACAGTTTGGTAGCAAATAGTTCATACTTTTGAGGTCCGAAAAAACGGATGGTTTACGTAGTTGATTGGATACAACCTCGGTAAAGTTTGGCTCATTTTAGCTGTTCTCTTAAATCACGCACTACATTTAGGCAATAATATTATTTGAATAATTATGTAAACTGTATACCAAAATTAATTTAAAAATCATTTCATTCAGTTGTGTTTGTGGTTAGGCACAAGCTGCGTTATTTCAGAACGATCTATCGTCAATAACATATAACTCTGTACGTTTCATGACGCAATAAACTATTATTAAAAAGTTCATCCAAATATAAGCGCAGATTTATAAATTCATAGGCTAGTCACCAACTAAGTTCTATAATCACTCGTTAATCACCAACAAGTCTGTCAAATAAAACAAAAAGCGTTTAGTATTGCGTCCTAGAGCTAAAAACTTGGTGTTCGTGATCACTTGAGATACACAGAACAGTTATAGGATGAACATCACGGTATACGTTTTCCCCAAAAGGGTTTCGTTTCTGCTGGTAATGGCTTGTCCTACGCTGTAGTCACAGCATAATTTACAAAAAAAAAAAAATCAAGAACTGCACTGACAATCGTTATAAAGCAAGCCATCCACAACGAAACTTTATTCAAGTGAATATTTACATCTTTTGACGATTTTTGATAACTGACGATGGAGGGGAGCTGGACTTCGAAACGTTTCCTTTAGAGATACTATGATTTTTTGTGGAGTTTTCTTTGCTCTAAAGTTTTTAGTGAATTTGCGATTCATGCAAACGAGTGACATTATCACTTATTACTTAGTAACATTATTACTTGATTATTAAGATACTGCTGGCATGCGAAAGATTTTAACAAAGTCGTTCTGATATTTCTTGGGGTCGCCTGCCGAAGGCCACCACTGCCCTGGATGCAATGGACCATCATGATTCCTGCCTTCCGGAACGTAGCCTTCAACACTTCAAGCCGTCCGTTTCTAGGCCGTGGGTCGAACCAGCCCTCGGTCGAACGGCCACTTGTCTGAAACCTAACCTCAGATGCGGTGAACGTAAAATTACGTAATTTAACGATGCCCGGAAGTCAGATTCGATTCGCGGCCTGGTGGTGCACGGCAGGTGGTGGTCATGGCCGGAAGAGGACAAAGCCGAGTGGTGCACGGCTGATTGGTGGATGTCCGGAGAGATCCAAGGCGTTCGATTCAGGGCCTATTGGTGCACAAAATTGATGGTGCACGGCTGCGCTCCCCGACACTTCTAGGAATGTACAACAACGATCTTCAAACAGGAAAGTTTTCGCAAGACCTTCGTGAGACGTCAAAATTAGTATTCAAAGATCTTTTTGATTTTGTGTAGAAACATAGTGAACATAGAACTGCCATAAAAGTTTCAGATGCAGTATTCAAAATTAGCTTCGAGATAGCCTTCACTTGCTTTTTATATGCGCTGTATTGCATCCTTTGAAAAATTTTTAGGTGTATGATTAAATGTCAACTAAAACTACTACAAATAACATTTAACTTCTTTGCCGTTACAAGAAACAAATTTCCAGTTTTGATGGCAGCGCTCGGACACTTTTCCGGCCGTAGGCGCAATA